GCAGGGGAGGCACAGGAGGGTGGCACGGGATTGTCTGGGATGGGAGGTGGGACGGGATTTGGGGTGGGAGGTGGGACGGGATTTGGGGTGGGAGCTGGGATGGGATTTGGGATGGGAATTGGGATGGGAATTGGGATGGAATTGGGGCTGAGATTTGGGATGGGAGCTGGGATGGGATCGGGGGTGGGATCGGGGATGGGATCGGGGATGGGATCGGGGGTGGGATTTGGGATGGGAATTGGGGCTGAAATTTGGGATGGGATCGGGGGTGGGATCTGGGACGGGATCGGGGATGGGAACTGGGATGGGATTGGGGGTGGGATCTGGGTGGGAGCTGCCAGCCCGTCCCTGTGCCCGGAGTGTCCCGGGAATGCCGGACGGACACACGGGTGGCACCGGGGCGAGGGTGGCACCGGCCGGCTGAGGGCGTGGGGCTGGATTTGGGGTCACCGGTGGGATGGGTTTGGGGACACCGGTGGCACAGGGTGGGGCTGGATTTGGGGACACCGGTGGGATGGATTTGGGGACACAGGTGAGATGGATTTGGGGACACCGGTGGGATGGATTTGGGGAAGATTGGGGGGGTGAATTTGGAGGCACAGATGGGAGGGATGTGGGGTAAAGGTGGGATGGATTTTGGGGATAAGGGTGGGAGGAATTTGGAGACACGTGGGATGGATTTTGGGGATAAAGGGTGGGATGGATTTGGAATCACAGGTGGGGTGAATTTGGTTGATAAGGGTGGGACAGATTTTGGGGCTAAGGAAGGAACGGATTTTGGGGGATAGGGATGGGACAGATTTTGGGGCTAAGGGTGGGACGGATTTTGGGGCTAAGGATGGGACGGATTTTGGGGATAGGGATGGGACGGATTTTGGGGATAGGGATGGGACGGATTTTGGGGCTAAGGGTGGGACGGATTTTGGGGCTAAGGATGGGACGGATTTTGGGGGATAGGGATGGGACGGATTTTGGGGCTAAGGGTGGGACAGATTTTGGGGCTAAGGAAGGAACGGATTTTGGGGGATAGGGATGGGACAGATTTTGGGGCTAAGGATGGGACGGATTTTGGGGCTAAGGGTGGGACGGATTTTGGGGCTAAGGGTGGGACGGATTTTGGGGCTAAGGGTGGGACGGATTTTGGGGGATAGGGATGGGACAGATTTTGGGGCTAAGGATGGGATGGATTTTGGGGGATAGGGATGGGAC